CCCCAAAACCCCAAAACCCCAAAACCCCAAAACCCCAAACAAGAGAGAAATAATTGAAAAATATTTCAAGAATAGGTATAAAGATGAGCTCAGAGTATGAAGATTACGGAAATATGGAGTACGGGACAAGACTCCCTCATAGATTTAGACTGAGCAACTTTGAGAGCAGAAATAAAATCCCGGTTTCTTCTCAAAGCTTCTCCAACATGTCTCAACAGGAAGGGTTGCAGAATTTAGAGTATTACAAAAATTTTCTATCATCCTTTAAGAAAAGGAAAAATACTCCTTCATTAGTACGCAAGAAGGGGATAGCCTCTACCAGCTCCTTAAACAGTAGCAGTTATGACAAGATTTGTCCCAGTTACTCTTCAAACCGTTCTGAGAAAGGCCGGAAGTCTCACCTACGCAACCCTTGTGGCCTTGAAATCAACAAGGAAAGGAGAACTAGGGATCAAAATTAGTTCAAATATAGTCATAATCAATTATAAAAATTACGAATCTGCATGCTTAAAGAAGCTTAAGAAAGATAAAGCCAGAGAGAAACACTCTACAAGAGAAGAGTACAAAACTAGGGGAGATAAACTTCCATCTCGAAGAGAGACTCAAAGAGAAGGCAGCCAGAAGCTCTTACCTTCAGGTTCACAAGGAGTTAGGTCAGAACACAAGTTTTTCACAACTAGAGATGTTTGCCAACTTCAGACTGAAGATTCGTACTGTGCACCTTTAAAGACACAAAGTGATGCTAGAAATAACACCGAAGATGAGTCGCCAGATAAGGACCAGGCTTCAAGGATTCGGCCTTGGAAAGCAAGCGAAGATCAAAACTTGCTTAATCTGTATGAGAAATATCCTGATAATTGGAAGAAAATAGCGAAATCCTTCCCTGAGAGAGATGAAAAACAGTGCCGGACAAGGATAACCAGGATCAAAGTTCACAATAAAGTCAAACAAGGTCGGTGGTCTCAAGAAGAAGTTGAGCAGTTAACAAAGTATTACAGGACATTCGGGAATAGTTGGGCTCAAATTGCGAAACGCATGAAGACCAGAACTGCTGTCCAAATCAAAGACAAAATGCGTGAGCTTAACAAAAGCCAGTCTAAACCCAAAACTAAGAAGGTTATGTTCGACTACCAACCGACTGAGATAGATGAAACTGGGTGAAAAGAAGATGATGAGGTGTTTGACAATAATTTTTCATCTAAAGCGCACCAGTTCAACCCAATCAAGAGAGAAAGTAAGCCTTATTATTATACATAGAGACCAAAGAGGTTTCTAAAAGACTTGACATCAAGCGAGAACCTTCATTCTTCAATTTCTCAGACTTAAACGAGATTAGCGAGATGTTTGAGGAATCCAAGAGAATCGATGAAAACATTGATACTAGACGGATGATGACTGACTCAGGTATGCCTTTCATTTCTTATATCTAACTTTATGTAGACTACAACCTGAAAATGAGCAGCAATGAATTCCTGAGCGTGAAGACTCCAGAAATTATGAAGATGAATAGCCGGGAACAGTTCGATGACATCCTAAATAAATCTCTGAGTTCAGCTCAATAATATATCAGAAATTAGCCTGATAAATAATATATTTGTTCAATTTTGAAAGTCTGAAAGGGGTTTTGGGGTTTTGGGGTTTTGGGGTTTTGGGG